CTCGGAAGGAAGGTTGGGCAATCTACTTCCGTAGTGACACTGCCTCAGAAACCCAGGGAGGGGTCGCTATGAGTCGGATCTGACTCAACATCAGTGTGTTTGGTTTTGGTTTGGTAGAGGCAACTATGGAAGGAAAACCTGAACATCTGCTCTGTAAGGAGTACAGCCAAGAAAACCCTATGGAGCATGGGTTGCCATCAGTCGGAATCAACTCGACAGCAACAGGTTTGCTTCTTGGGTTTCTGTATTTATATCCTGTTTAATCTCCTCTCACATTGACTCTGGGCTTGACCATGTGACTTTTTTGACCAATGGGACGTTAGCAAACATGATGAAAACAGAGACTCGTTAAATACTTGCACTGTGGGGCATCTCCTCTTTGAACTCAGCCTTGAGGTTTCCATGTTGTAAGGAAGCCCAAGTTACTCACGTGGAGAGGCCACAAGGAGTAGCTCTGAGCTATCCCGGCTGATAGTCTCAGTTGAGCCCAACCCTCCAGACAATCCACCAGTGAAATGTAGCTCCTTGAGTTACCTTAAGCTAAGTCTGAAGAATTCCCTCACGCCCAGCAACACACAGAATCGTGAGAAATCACAAATCATCGTTTCAAGCCACTGATGAGAAGGTGGCTAATTGTGCAACAATAGATGCCAGAGACAGAGGAAGTGGCTACACATGGGCCTGGTAATCCATGGGCTTGACCACCAACACTATGTTAAACTGACTGTGTGATTAGCAATAAGGATTCTATGGAAAGCCCATGATGCTCTAGGCTCCGCAATAGAAAAAGGGTTTTAGAGGCAATTTTAAAGGACAACAAGACTACTTACTGTTTGTCTCAGTAACTGCTCAGACTGTGACCTGGAGATGTTACCTGCAAACCAGCTGTAACGGAAAAGAATTCCATATTTGAAATAACCAATAGCTAGCTGCTCAAGAGAAACAACTGAAGAGATTTTTCCAAAAGTATAGATCCCTGAGTCCCCCATCCATGCCCTGGGGCAGAGCCTGCACATCTGGATTTGTAAGTGGGTCAGCATTTAGGAACCTTTGGCCTCCTTCTGAATGACCTTTAAGTTCTCCAGCATGTCATCATTTTGAATGAAGACCAGAGATTAGAGTAAGGCCTATGCCAATGGGAAAGTCAGAATTGCCCAGGATGGAAGCTCCTGTCTTTCAATCCTATTGTTTTCTTAAAGTAATGTAACAGAAGCACACTTTATAACATCTATTTTCAAAACAAATGCTTTTTTTGTTATTGTTGTTCAATGATTTTTAAAATTTTAGAATAGTTTCAGACTTACAGAAAAATTGCAGAGATAATGCAGAGAGTTCCTGTGTAGTCCAGGCCCAGTTTCCTATCTTATTACTGCCTTATATAGACAGTCAAGGAGCTCTGGAGGCATAGTGCCTAAGGCATTTGACTGCTAACTGGAAGGCTAGGGGTTCAATCCCACCAGCCACTCCTTGGAAGGAAGATTGGGCAATCTACTTCCATGGAGATACCACCTTGGAAGCCCAAGGAGGGGTTGCTATGAGTCGGAACCTATTCGACAGCAGTGAGTTTGTTTTTTCTTATAGACACTCAACCTCAAGAAGGTGAGGCAGAATTCCCCACTCCTTCAATGTGGAGTGTGCTCAGTGACTTCCTTCCAAAGAGTAAATACAGTGTGATGGGAGAAAGAGTAACCTTATAGAGGAGAAACCTGAAAACCACTACTTCAGCCAGGTGATTGAGGTTATCAGCAACAGTGATATTCTTAAATATGTACTCTTGATATAAAAGGATGAAAATAGCCCCTTCCCTTTGCGATATTCCAAAAAAGAAACAACACATAGCCCTGACCTAAGTATTAGAAGAGAGGACGGTGGGACTTGGTCTTGCTTCCTTTGGGCACGTCATCAGGAAAGACCAATTGGTAGAAAAGGACATTATGTTTGGTAAAGTAGAGGGTGAGCCGAAACGAGGGAAACCGTCCATGAGATGAACTGACACGGTGACCGAAACAATGGACTCAGACTTCCTGATGATGTTGGGGACGGCACAGGCCCAGGCAATGGTTTGTTGTGTTACAGATACATAAGGTTGTCATGACCCAGAGCCGACTCTACGGCGACTAACAAAAACAACTGTGAGAAAAGAAAATGTTTTTTTTTGTTTGTTTGTTTGTTTTCCAGATAGCAATAGCTACCATATATAGTAATACTGGGCAGGAGCAGTTGTGCTAAACTGAGAAGAAGCTAAAGTAGGAGAGCCAGGGATCATCTTTAAATATTGCCCTTTGTTTCACTAAGTTAGCCAAGATTATCACATCTTAGGTTATATGTGGACATCAATGGGCCACAGAACCGTTTCTCACAGGAGGTCAATAATGCCTTTGGCTTTGGCCAACGTGTCATATTACGGAAATGAGTAGGATGTGAGGAGGGATGGAGCATGGATTTTGGGGCTTGGGAGAACTTTCTGGCCATAAGATAACACCCAAGAGGGAAAGAAGTACATGAGGAGGGAGAGTGGGAGGGAGTGCCTGTAGGAGAAAATCAAGGTGGAGGGTGTCTCAGAACCTGGCAGAATGGAAGTGAAAAGGGTCTCTGTATTAGCAGGAGAAGGGATGTCAGCTGGTGGACAGCTCAGTCAAATTCAAAGACCTTTCTTTACACCAGCCAGATAAGAAACTCAGAAGTGTAAGTTCTAGACATAACCTACTACTAGAAACTTAGTCGGGAGCTCTGGTAGCATAGTGGCTAAAGCACTTGACTGCTAACCAGAAGGCTGGCGGTTCAAACCTACCAGCCACTCCTCGGAAGGAAGGTTGGGCAATCCTACTTCTGTAGTGATACTGCCTCGGAAACCCAAGGAGGGGTCTCTATGAGTTGGGGCTGACTCGATGGCACATAACAACAACAACAACAAGAAACTTAGTCACTTAGCCTATATGACCCTTGAATTTTTCTGTCTGTAAAATTGGGAAGGGGCTCTGGATGTGATAAATCTGAAAGGCTCTTCTAATTCTACTTTTATAACTACTCTTTAATGAACACTTAAGATATTAACTGATGTTTTCTTATTAGTTAAAATTTTAAGCTAATCAAGGTTAATCAAGTCTAATCAAGAGATCCTTTAGGGAACTTGACCCAGGATACATGCATGTAGGTGGTTGAAGGAAGAGAAGAAGATCAGGAGAAAGAAGAGAAGGCCTGCGCAGAGGTGTAAGATTGTGTGGATAGTCCCCCGCACACTTACACATACGTATACACGTTTCCACACACACTCACATGTGCACACATACATACAAAAATACACTCACTTTCCCACACATACACCTGCACACAATGCACACACATATACACACTCATATATGTACACATATCTATGTACACACACTCATCCTTTGCCCATGTTATAATTTTGCTGAGGCCTGGCTCTGTTTATTTTTAAAACTATTGCCACTTCAGAGCAGCAAAGGCTAACTCCAAGGCACGATGTTTCCATCTAAAGCCCAGTGCCTCCGTTTCTATTGAGTGGAGTAGAGTTGCTTCGAAAGTTATGGGGACAAAACAAAGGCCCCAGTGACACTGGTAGAGCAGGAAGAGGGGAGCACCAAGCATGATGTGTGAAGGCTGAGCCCCCAGATCCTGTAACCTCTAATCCTGCGCTCCCTTCAGCATCTCCTTGATTTGGAAGAAGGGAGGTCTTCCCTGTTGATTTTCACCTAGTCTCTCACCCACCATTTGAATCTCAAGAAGATAAGGTCTCAATGGTGAGAGCTGGACTTTCCAAATCAATGAAATACTGGCAATTCATCCCCATGCTAAAGCCTGAACTTCACAATTAAAGGTTCGCTTCC